AAAACTCCTTTGTCTTCTGACACTGTTGTAATACTTTTTCACCGAGTTTGCAGCTTAAAATATTTTTAAAAATATTTTTCAGTCACATGATAGATAATTTCATTACGTAGTCTGAGGTTTTTGCACCACACATAAGCTGCAGTTACAGTAGATTACTTCTCGAATAAAAAATAAATTCGAGAAATTGCTGCAAAACGGCAAGAAAATACTTAGGAAGCTTCTGAAGAAGAATAATAGAAAGTTAATTTGATTGATAAAATCAAAAGTTTATTCTCTGTTAATAAACCATTTTTTTGTATAAAATGTTTTTTAAATTTGTTTGAGCCTAATCGTCGTTTTTTATTTGGTCTTCCAATTAAAACTGTTTTAGACAGCACTCCAAAAAAAGGTGTGGAAAAGAAGCTTGGAATCATCCCTACAGACGGATACCTCCTGTAGTTCAACGCCGAATTTTTTTCTGCAACTATCATTACAAATTGACAACATCTTAAAAAGTCTCCATACCGAAATTCAGTACCATAAAATCCCAAACTATTAGAGCAAATATTCTTTGTTTCAGAAAACACATCTTTTCTCCTAATAATCAGTTTTCACTTTTAACAGGTATGAGAAGATTACTTTGTTCAATTAAGAACTGCAAATTCAATATTCACTGGCAATCAAAATCACGTTCCAATGCAATTTCGTGGCCTCTCAGACTTCTCGCCGTCTAAAAAATCTGTGAACTAATAGTAGAACTAGAAAGTGTTTCTGTTAAATTAGAGCTATAACACAAATTGATTTGGCAATTAAGTTATAGCGAGCCACGTTTTCCTTAGACACAGTGTTACAATTATGCTAACTAGTAGTGACCAGCACCTGTGCAAGAAAATTACCTACAAATTAACCGGCACTGCATTCTCGTCAAAAACAGTCAGATTCCAGAAAGGAAACTTAAGTCTATAAACTGAGAACTGCATATTTTTGACGCTTTAAAAGAAATGCTTTCGAACAAAAAAAGCTTCTAGAGCTAAAAAGACCAATCTTTATAGATTATTAACAAAAGACCTAATGCAAAAACTCTTGAAAAGGATTCTACTCTAGGTCGCCTGTAACCCTGAACAACAACGGCCTTGAACAGTCAGAAAACCTATAAAAATTGATTAGATGACACCCTTTTACAATTCAACTAAGAAGGAATAAAAAAAAAAATAGAACTAGTATTTGCATAGCCCAAGAAACTGCAAATTCCACATCATCCAAATCAGAAAACAAACTTCCGATTGAACCGCCTCTGCTAAGCAAAAGACCGTAAATCTTCTAACAACATCAACAGCTTTCTAAGCTTCCCTACCCGCACTTTCACTCAAATTATAAAAGCGAAGCTTACGAAGCTAAGAAAGGACGAACATGAAGCTGCAGACTCGAAAAAAAGAAAGAAAAAAAAAACAAGAAATGATAACTGCAATACAGCCGATCCAAAAGAACAAAAATTTCAAGCATCCTTCGTAAACCCTTTCCTGTAACACAAGAGATTTTAATTACCACTTACAATTTACACAAAACCTACCAACAAACTCATCGTTAAAGACGAATTTACAAAGGTATATATTGAACCCGAAACAATCAACATTTTGCAAGAGATTGTATTTCAAAAACGCACAAAAACACCATCAACAGAACACATAAATAACACTTGGGTTTCAATTTTCTTGGTCCGAAAATTTTGTCCGGTTTCTTAAAACTTTTCAGGCAATGGAGAGTTTTCGATAAAAGCGGACGTCCCAACTTCCCAAAATAAAAATGCAACGAACGAGAAAAGGGAAGCCCTGTCAATGTTTTGCAAGCCACTCATGTCATGAAAAAAAATTTAAACAAACCCAAGGAGCGAAGAAAAAACAAGACGTCACAAAAAGTAAATCAAACGAAGTGAAATTAAGAAAACCGAGTAACAAACGAAGAGCAGTTTTTCAGCCTTCTACAGTTTATACCAAGCCTGTGGTGTAACTGGGTACGAATTACTGAAACCCCCAATTCTAACCACCAAAAAAATTACGAGTTGTATAAATTCCTCACCAAAGATTGCTAGAGTAGATTAAAACAAACCAAATTGCTAGTGGTAAGTATACCAATAGTTTTACCCTAGAGAAACATGTTTTTATAAAAGATAAAGCAGTGCTCCAAAAATTGCACATCCTAAACTGGTTAATCATAATTCAGCTTCAAGGAAGCTATCGAGAAGCTACTCGTCACTCCTATTTTTTCATTCTGACACGTATTTGTAAAGTCATCAGAGTAAGATTATAACAGTAAACCCTAAGAACCTGTTACGAAAAAAAAAAAAAATGAAAAACAGGGTCATCATTCCGTTTTTGCGTTATTCTCCAAAAAAAATTAAATAGAGAAAATGAAAAAGAACTTAAATAACCAGTTAAACCAGCGATGTCATAAGTCCAGTGAAACTCTTTTCAGTAAAAATAGCCAGCTTAATCAAACAAAAAAAATTCACTTGCTAAACTGCAAATTTACTACTACATCTATCTATCAAAGTGAAAACTTTTATGTAGGAAGAACACCACCAAAATTCTCTCTCTTATACAAAATTTAGTTATACCGGTCGAACCTAAAAGGCCAAACCGTCAACTTTGAAAAATAAAAAAAATGAGGTTAAACATCAATAGTCAGTCAGTCAGCAATAACGACATACCAAATCCGACACCAGTAACATCCACATCGGTAATCAAATGGTTATTTAACAAAACATCTTATTCAGACAGCCCTACCAAAAAAGCCATCAGTAGGTACACCAAAATAATTCTTTAAAACTGGGCCTTTACGCTCTAAGCCAACCAACTCTCAGAGCTTCTGAAACTTTTGCTCTATCAAAAGGCATTCAACAAAGAACGGTTCAAGAACTCAGCTCTGGAAATAAACAAGGTAAAAAATAAGATCGAACATTAAATAACGAAGTGTGGTAACCCCTTTGAACACTCTCCTTCACAAAGACCCTTGGTAATTTACCCTTAAATCAAAAAAAATTCGAGAGCTAATAAAGCTAAAGAAGAGCAAGATTATAAAAGCACAATTATCGCTGAATTACTTTTTTTTTACGAATTTGAAATTAAGCAATTTATGCATGCTTTTAAGTGTTGGTAAATAACATCACAACAAAAAAAAAAAAA